AAGACATATATGATGAAGATGACTTCATAATTTGCTTACCCAGCATATCTGGATATGACAGATTTTCATACATAAAGCAACTGCATGGATTTGGTCTTAATTATTCTTCAGCTTTTCGAACAGCAGCCATTTCATGAATATGTAGTATCTAGGGTAGAATAATGTTCTGCGCTTTCTTTTACTGATGAAAGCTTTCGATCAAATCATAGGTTTGGAATGTCATTATATCAATGGCAATTAGTAGCGATGAGTGTTTGTTGTCCAGCTAGAAGATGTGATCTCTTGAACAAAAGAAGAAACAAGGGTTTAAAAGCTCAAGTATGCATATTGGTCATTCTAATATCTATACTTGTGTGAATAAAGTGATGTTAGACAACAAAATACACGAGACTCCAGAGTAGTGCATTATGAAAGGCAAAAATGGGGCAAAGATCAAACTGCAATCTATGGGGCTTTCACCTGTTTTTATTTGGTTGTCATAATTTTCCTAAAAGAAGAGCACCATAAACTTTCCCTCGATTTCTCGCCATCCAACCAATCCTCGAATGCTTGCCTGTTTGTTTTTAATATTAGAATAGGTAATCTAATAGAATATTGATTCCCCGATATAACCATGTTAGTTTTTATGACTCCTAACTTACTTGTTAAGCAAGAATATTTGAAACCTTGGGGTTTCCTAGGATTGCTAGGATTTAATTATGCGTCATATTTTATCAATGAACATAAAACCCTTAGCCACCCAAAAGCACAATAACCTCTATAACCAGATCCCAGAAGCTCAAACCCTAAACCCAACCTTTCTAGTTTCAACCATGTCAAACATCCCACAGGAGCGCTAATCTTTGACATCGTTTCACGGCTTGAGCCGAAGGATTTGATCCGATACACGTGTGTTTCCAAAGCTTGGTATGCTTTGATCCACAACCAAGACTTCATCAAAGCGCATCATGAATCGTCGTACTTCTAACTTGGATTTCTTTTCATTGTCTTTTGCTGACGATGAGAAAATCGGGAGTCCGATGCCGTCAAAATACTCATGGGATATAGTTGGCTACGCCAATGGTCTGGTTTGCGTACGCAACTATACGGATGGGGGTATTGCTTTGTGGAACCCGTCAATTCAAAAGTTGAAGAAGATTCCCGAACCACACGCCCAGCCGCCATCACCAGAATTAGAGTTGCATAACTATGGGTTCGGGTACGATTCAACCAATGATGACTATAAACTAGTGCAGATTGTGGAAATGGCTAATGAGAATGACATTTTTGTGAGTCACCAAGTTAGTGTTTATAGCCTAAAAGCCAACTCATGGAAAAGGATCCAGGACATTCCTTCCAGTGGTTATGGCTATCCAGTAGGTTTTTTTGACATCGTGTTTGTCAATGGTGCTCTAGGTTGGCTGATGTGGGTCGAGTTATTAGATCCTCAGTGCATAATCGTAACCCTTGATCTTGAGAGTGAGAAATATCGGGCGTTTCCCATCCCAGTGGATAGGGTTGACATTAGAGATCGTTATACGCCATACTTAAAGATCTTGGGAGACTATCTGTGTATTTGTCTTAATCTCTGGTCTGGATGGGATTTTTGGATTATGAAGGAATGGAAAGACAGAATCGTGGAGCCGGCTTTATTCTATTGACAGGCAACCGGATGTTTATAATGTGAAGCCTTTGGCTTTTTCAAAGAATGGCGAAATGGTTCTTTTGGACATGCCGGGCCTGGGCAACGGATGCAACAGGCTTTCTTGGTATGATTTGGAGAAAAAGAGTGTCAAACAAGTTGAAATTAGTGGTCTTCCTTTGCTTTATTATTTCTTAACAACCATCTGTTGGGGGAGCCTTTTTCTTCTTGATGGCGATCCTGTTATTGCTAACAAGTCTTAACAAGAGGAAAACTTGAAGCTCTAAGAAGAAAGAAAACTTGAAGCTCTAAGAAGAGGAAAATTTCAAGCTCTGGTAGTCGAAGCAAAAAACAAAAGAAGATTATCTGAATATTTGCTTGTGATCTTTGTACGTAATGATCCTGTTTTCATTATTGTAACAGTGCTAGCAAGTTTGTTAGTCCGCAGTTTTGTTTTCAACTCTTATCAAATTCTACCGGAAGCTACTGCATGGATCTGGTCCTAATTATTTACGGTTGAATAATTCTGATCGTCTGTTCTTCAGCTTTTCGGACAGCCCCCGTTGTGTGCTATCTAGATTCTATAATAGAATCCCGAACATGAATCATTATACGCTTCTTCAATTTCAATTTGCTGATGAAAGCTTTCCTCATAAATCTTGGAAGCAAAACCTCGTTATAACTTATACCAATGACGACAAGTAGCATTGCGATGAGCGTTTTTTGTCTGGCTCTCTCTACAAATAAAGAAGAAACAAAGGGTTTAATAGCTGGGGTATATTTTCCAACCATCAGATTCTACATCAACGGTCAAACATTATAAAACAAAACAAAAAAGATCGAGCCAAGTCGGTGGCCCTGGCCTATAAAATCTCTTTCCAATTGAAAAATCAAACACACGAGACGAGACAACAAAATAGTCGAGACTCCAGATCCTTCTTTTCCCTCACTTTTTCCCCCAAAGAAAAACTTTCCCTCGCTTTCCCGCCCTCCAAACAATCCCCGAATGGCCGCAATCAGTCTCCGAAAGGGCAACACTCGTCTGCCCCCGGAAGTCAATCGCGTTCTCTACGTCCGCAATCTCCCCTTCAACATCTCCAGCGAGGAGATGTACGACATCTTCGGCAAATACGGCGCCATACGACAGATACGCATCGGCACCAACAAGGACACCAGAGGCACCGCCTTTGTCGTTTACGAGGACATCTACGACGCCAAAACGGCGGTGGATCACCTCTCCGGCTTCAACGTCGCCAACCGCTACCTGATCGTGCTTTATTACCAGCAGGCGAAGATGGGCAAGAAGCTTGATCAGAGGAAGAAGGAGGAAGAAATCGCCAAGATGCAGGAGAAGTACGGCGTCTCCACCAAAGATAAGTAGTTAATTTTGTGTGATTTAACTCTTCTTCTGGTTGGAAATTGTTGGGTTTATGTGTTTGTATATGTTGAGGGTTATATCTACGCTCTGGATTTTGTAATCTAACTATTTGGGATTTGGAGGGTTTTTTTAATGCTCTAATTGGCTCTAATTGATTTGTTTTGTAATTTCTTCTGCTTTGATTTTTTTTGGCTTGTGAATGTAGATGTGATGAATTTGAAAACAATGGTAGATTTTGAGGTATGCATTGTTGAATGAGATTAGTGATTGAACGCTTTTGATTTTGTTGGTTTTAGAATTTTGCGGCGAGGTATAGTATTTGATGCAAAATCAAGTTTTGTCACTGATAATAACCGTGATATGGAAGGCGGCATGTTTGTGTGGATGTGTTGTGTCTATGGATTGCTATGTGAACAAATATTGTATAAGCTCAATGTGCAAGTCTCTACATTAGGAATACTGATATGGAGAGTTGAATTTTCTTTGGTAATTGCTGAAGTTGAAGAAATATCTCGCTAAGTTTTTCTCCTAGTGTCTACCAGTCCATTAGCGTGTATTTGGCACGTCCCATGAGTAGGAGGATAGGATAGGATATATCATCCTTTAGAAAGGTTATCAACTTTTTGTAAGATTTCACATGTTTAGTTGGTCCATGAGGAAGCTGGTGAAATCCTATATGGCATTATCCCTTTCTTTTGTAGTTTTTTTGGTGGAGAGGGGGGGAGGGGGGTGTTGTCCTGCTATAGTGGGCTACAAAATGCACTGGGATGGCTTTGATCCGGTTGTAAGTGCTCACCAAATATCCTATCCTTATCAAATGTGCCAAACACAAACCTTAATACACAGAATGCTTGTAGCTGCTTTCTATTCTTTGGTTTGGATTGGATTGTAGATTTGGGGAGAAGTGATGGGATTTGAGCACGAAGAGACAACATACAATTAAGAGACTGAAGAAAGCCCTTGGATGAATTTGATTTCTACTTACTAGTTCCATCTATGCTTGCTGATTTTTGCAAAACTCAAAGGACTGACATGGGGAAGAATTCATCTTTCCCGGCAGTAGATTAGTGGATTTGTTAAAGGATGTATCTTGAGTAGCCTAAATGTGTAATTAAGGGAGTAGCTGTTGCATAGAGGCAAATTCTATAAAAAAAACAGAATTGTCTATAATAGAGAACAAATTCTGCTGCAGTTTTGGTGATGCACCAGAAATAGAAATCAAAGCAATGGGCAATAACTTACAGTGAATATAGCTTAATAATTGAACCAGGAATGATTAATCTATGAAGGGCTAAGCTTAAGAACACTATTTTAGTTCAGATTTGATTTTCATTGAATCGATAGGGAAATGTATTTAAAAGAACTTTTATACTGCTATAGCAACCTTGGAATCCCCTTCATTACATATGTTTTCATGAAATCTTAGCCATACAAGCTCATTTAAAAGTCACATGACAAGAACTTCTAAAGCTCTTAGTCCATAGTTATAACATAATATAAAGCAAGATAATTCTCATAACGTGACGGTTAGGAACTTGGTACATAATAATAACTAGTATGTAGGTCTGAAGGCTGGGCCTACTTGGGCTTAGAAGTCTTCTTAGGTGCTCTGCTTCCAGGGGAATTGTCTAGACTTTGTGGGTGTAAGATGGCGGTCAACTTCTTTTGACTTATTTGAGATTGCATCCATTGGAAGTTGGAAGATTGGAATATTGGAATATTTACCTATTGCTTGGAGAACACTGCAATTGAAGCATACTTTCTACTTTTTCTAGATCCATACACATAGCCTTCCCCCTCCGAACTCCATCCCCCCATGTGTGGTGGAACTCAAGACCTGCTCCTATTAGAGAAGTGCACCATTTTGGTGGCAGTGATAATGACAGATGATTAAGGGTAAAGAGAGTGGGATGTTAACTGTAAGGAGTGCACTTTGTGATAGGTTCCTGTTTCTAGGTAAAACTAGTTTTGTGTACCTATTAAAGAATACTCTAAACTTGACTTACAGTTCCAATTACCATCTTTCCTCTCACTTGTTTGTGTGATTTTTTTATATATTTTTTATTTATGTTTTTGTGGTTGGCCTTGAAAGCTTTGTGGAAAGGAAGGGTTTTTCTACTTATTACTAAATATTTGTGATTACTGTTATTGTATTAGTGTTGTGAATGTTATATACATTCAGATCCTTACTGGTTAGGATTATAAAAACATGAGAAGGTGCAAATAATAGCGTTAGCTTTCAACTCTCTGACCCATAAACATCAGAAGATTTTGAAATTGTTTGCTGCCTTGTTTAATGGAAGGGCCGAGATTCTGCCTGGGAGTAGACGTTCTAGATGATGTTATAACACCACCCAACTGTCAAACAACTTGACCGTAGCCCTGCTTGTCGAAACCAAACATCGGAGATGGTGGTCAACATTGTCACAAAATGACACTGCATATGCATTTCTTTAGAATAAAGTTCCTCTAAAAAGAGATTGAAATGATATTTCTTTGCAGACCATTGACTACAAATTAGCAAAGAAAATTCATTTCTAGCTCGCCCCTCGCATTATTTATTCATTTTTAAATAATTTTATATAATTTTCACACATTAAGGTTATCTATTAATGATTATGATACTTGAACAACCAGTTGTGTACATGTCTCAATGAGAATCATAGAGATTTGATTATTTCTCTTTTTTCGGTTGGTAGGCCAACGACAGCCTTCTGGCCTTTGTTTGAATGATTTTTTCTCAAACCGAAGAAGAAATATTTCTCCCTATTCCAATGTTTCCATGAGTGGATTCAAGTTCAAATGTCCTTTTCAAAACATTTCATGACTTATCAAATAAATTTGTTCAAATTATTATCACTGTGAATTTATCTATTTTACTAACCCGAGAATTTAATTCAAGCTCCAAAAGTGGGTTATGCCGATTGATCAGGTAGTAAGTCCACTCATTACGCACCTATTCATAAATTAGATTTATTTAAAGTTGTTTATACTATCATCTATATGTATATCAATCCAAGCCAAACATCTCACCCAACTCAAACGTAAGTAAATAATAATAATGAAGTGATACTACTTACAGTTTGAAGACCCACAAATCATGCAAAATGTCAACATGAAATGACAGCATAAATCAACCTAGCTTTCCCAAGGAAAAAGGGCACAACTGAGATCGAAGGATTAAAATGGAAGTGACATTTGAACGTAACACAAGTATAAGCATTTGAAATACGGCAATAAACTTTCTTGAAAGCTCTTTGCAGCTGAGAATGGCCTGCCAATAGACATGAATTAAGAACAAAGCTGCTAAATTCTTTTTTATTTGGTCAACAGTTTGCTAAATTCAATTCCAAGTCGCTTCGCCTGCCAAATTGCCAATGGTCATGAACTAAAAACAAAGCTTGCTAGGTTCAATACCAGGTCACTATCTAGGTACACTCTGTTTTGAGCCCATTTACAGGATTCATACATATTTATTTATTTCATATTTTTTTTAATTTTTTATACAAGCGATAGCCTAAATTACAAGAGCTATCAAGGTTGAGTCATGGCCATTGGTCTATAAATTAAGATCTATTTCCACTAGACTAGACCTCGTTGGTTTAATTCTTTATACGTAATTTAATTATGGCTACCAACCAAAACCAGAACTTTATAGATTATAATGACAGCCGAAGTCGAAATCCAATTAGAATGAGCGGCATAAAATGGTTTGGCTCTATCCTACTGGAAATCCAATAGGAACCTTCTTGAATTGGTCATATTAGAATGCATCCTGAATCCAAATAAAAATGATAAAAATAAATAAGTAAAAAAAATGGTACTAGAATTTGCATATAAAACAGCAACAGAAGGTCGACATCAATTGAAGCCTGTGGAATATAAACAATCAAGTGCATCATTTAAGCAAAGATTGTGGCCAATTGTTGTTGTTGGGTATAATTAATTCCTCATTCAAGTTTGAAGTACTTGTACAATAATTAGTGGTTGTAATTCAAATCTAAAAATATCCTTCCTTCGCTTCGGTCAATTAATATTAATAAGAGGCAATTTCACAGGCTGCATCATCTGTCATTTATGAAGCTCAGCCTCAGCCTCAGCCTCAGCCTCAGGTAATTTCACAGACTTTCTGAGGATCCTCCAGCTAAAACAGTAGCATCTGCAGTATCTCATAATCTCAATTTTCTCTTCTTTTTTTTCTGGTTCTCTAACATTTAATTTAATTTTTTCCTCAAATGGTTCACAAAACTGTCCTCTTTTGAAAGAATTAATTGGGTTTTTTTTGCCATTTTGTTATTTCCTGTATTAAATTCGAGTCAGTAAAATAAATGCAAGTATTTATGTTTAATTGGCTCAAAAGGGTTGCATAGTAAAAGCTCATCTAGAAAGTGCCAAGCCAATCAAGATCATTTCTTTTTCTTTTCTTTTTTTTTTTGTTTGATAGATAGTACAAGGATTACGACTTCATGAATTTGGGTAATTTTGTGGGAAATGTTCATTTGGAAAGCAACAATCCGCCAAATGCAACCTATTGGTCACACCAAAGGCAATCAGAAAAACATATTAGTGGTCGCACAAAAAAACCTGTTTTTGCCATTTAGCTTGGAGAATATGTTGAATCTGATTAGGGGAAAGAAAAAAAAAACAAAGCAAATGTGACCATTAATTTTGTATGTGGCTAATTGTTCTTGTTTTTGGGTCCAATTATAATCCCCCTCTCTTTTTCAAGTCTATTCACTTTGTCGCAAATGAAATATTGAGACGGAATAGATTACTCCAACCAATTCACGACATTAGAATTGGTTGTTGTTATACGTCTTGGGCTATTTCCTTTCATGAATTTTAAAATTATCATTTTGTGTGGAATATTATTAGTCAACTTATTGAGTCTAAACCATGAAATACAACAACGGGTTGAACGAGGCGCATGATTAATTTCTAGTCGTTGATGCATGTGTCATCACTCAATTAAGTGTGTAAAATTCACCTATATCAAGGTCAAACAGAATCCATATGTGTGCGTGATCGACCAAACGACATTAACCAGGCGTTTAAGCTTTATACTAGGTATTTAACAAATATACCATCAAGTGACATTCGTTTGATTATAAGCATAATATCAACCCAAAATTTAATATACGTAGAAGATCTAAACACTAATAAAATACCAATAAAATGAAATGATGTGCTAACAAATAATTGAAGTTTGCTTCTTCTTTTTCTTCCTTGGCAGTTTCTAAGGATGTTATCCATCCATGTCCGAACTTGGATAAGCCCTAGAAATAGGTGGATTTTATTGGATTGTGCCCTAAATACAAAATAATCAAAGTCTAAGCAAGGAAAAAAAAAACAGTTTATTTAGTTCCTTATAAAAGTCATGAAACATTAATTTCTATGGAGTTTGAATGAGACCATTCTGTCTTGACGCAAACTGCTGACCATGGCTCAGCTGCTACGTGCATCTTCATGACTGGTTTTGGTTCATAACAATAAAACAGTTGACGTGAAAATATTAATTGTTTTGTGACATCAATTGTGAATCACATACTGATTTTAGGTTGAAAAAACAAAATAATTTATTTATTTTGATGATGGTGAGAGCTTCATATCGGTTTTGATTTGAAGCCTAAAGTCAAGCAAGAAGCATTCAACTCCATTGAAATCATCTGTCCCCATTAAAGCGATGGGAGATATGCTAAATATATTTACTTGTCCATTATTTTTTATATAAATTTGTGGACATGCATGTTTCAAAGTGACCTCAATTTATATTCTCATTATGTTTTTTTTTGTTTTTTTTGACTGTGATGTATGGCATGCTGTGTGCACACATAATGTTACAAGAAACACACAGTTGTGAGGTTTTATCTTTTTACCATTGATCCACGTCATACTCCGTGGACACCTGTCATGCATTTATGTCTCAAGCAGGACAAGAAAGAAAAATAATAATAAAGAGGGAAATAAAGAAAAAAGAAAAGATAAAAGGTTGGCTTGTGTTATAATTCGACATCTTCTACTTTTAAACCTTTTAGACTTTAGGGTTTGTTTCTATCGTATAGAATTTTTTTGAATATAAATGATAATCTAAATTATTCTAATCTACAAAGTAGAGGATTCGAACTTGAATTTAAGTGGGCATACTCACCGCTCTGACCAACTAGCCTAACGTGCATATGCTGTGGATAGAGGTGTTTAATAAGTTGAATATATAGAAGGCAATGAAAGTAGAGGTGAATATAGAATGGATAAGTTATAAGGTGTTGATATCTTACCAGTTTTTGAGAATTAGATCAAATAAATTATTTGATGAGTAAACCCTCTCTTATCGAACAAAATTTCTTCCGTTCCTCCTTCAACATACCTCAAATCTAATGAGTTATCTAATTCAGTTCTAGACAACAACAAAAAAATATGAAGACATTATATGATTAATTGGGTAGATTCAAAACATTTCTGTGCACGTCTAGATAATAGTGTTGTGGATCAAAATGTGTAAATACATTGTACTCATTCATTCATACTCCTCTGGCTGGCCGGCCGGCCGGTGAAATAATCTTCTTCTGATAATATGAAGACCCTGTAAAATTATATGGTGACAGAATATTTCTAAATGAATAAAGAAATTTATCAGAAGCAGAAAGAGGAAAAAGGCAAAAATATGAGGGACCTGAGAGCCACATGTCATCCAAACACTGGATTTATATTTCGTACAGGATAGAGAATGCATGAATGAAGAGCAGGGCAGTGGCAGTGGCACAGCACAGGCATGTCAAATCATGATTGGATAAGAGTGAAGGAGCCCTAGACTTTTCGTGAACCCCTCACAGGGTTTTTGGGGTTGGTACATTCCTCAAATTTTGTGCTATCAAAAAAAGAAAAAGAAAAAGAAAAGGCACAAAACCTAAGAAGCATATGTCCAAGAGAATATCCTAATCCCACAGCCAAACATTGTAGAATCCACTACTGTAAAGATGGGGATGGGTGCACCTTATCCTCTCTCCCCAATTTCCAATATCCGGACACTTGATTTCGTGTGGTGTGGGCAAACTTGGGTGAAAGAATGAAATCAAATTTGCACATCACAAGCAATCTCTCATTGAGAGAGGAGAGAGAGAGGGTGGGTGGGAAGTTGCTTTCACAAGGTTTTTTTTTTTTTTTTTCAAAACTTTGTGGCAATTTATTTTTTTGCTTTGAACAAAAAAGAAAGCCCCAGCATCAGTCTTATCACCCAAAAAATAAGAAAATTAAAAATTAAAAAAAAGAAGAAGAAAGGGACCCCACAACCACAACCCCCAACCCCACTTTTGGAGCCTTTGTAGTTCTTGAGAGCATTGTAACCGACCCTACCCACTTCATAAAATTATAAGATATGAATAACCATAGCAATAATAACATGAACATATATTTTACACAACATAATGGATTGCAAAGTCCCCACCACAATCATTTCTAAGCAAAAAATTTGTAAATTGGTTGAGAGGATCACATTTTTTAATCATACTAATAAATCCTTTAATATAATAGTTGACGCGTTAAAATAATGTCCGATTATAATAATAATTGATGTAATAAGTGCACATTGAAATAATATCCGTCATATATTCTAGTCAGATCGCATTAGTAACATGTAGTCGAAAACTTATGGTCCCATTGAAAAGAAAGTTTTGGGCAAATCTATCACCAATGTAGCACAACAATAGAAGGGAGGTTTGTGCCATGAAAAGCCAACAAGGTCGGTTTGTCTGTAGATAGCCATGATGCACATTACCTTAATAATTAAGGTTAGGATAGGACTCTGAAAACGTGTGTTTGAATTGAACCAGAAAAGACTCCGAAGGTGGATTTATGAGGTTTTCAACCCTCCAAGAGGCTTGAAATGTGTCAAACACTCCACTGTTTTGATCATGTATTAAGTATGACTTTTAAAATATGCAGCACACTCCACTTCTCCTATTATTACGGAATAAACTGTCGAAAGCTAATAAAATTTAGTAAGAGATTATGCAATCCAATATATTGACATCAATTTTGTGACATAAATATCACAAATATGAAAGATGCTTATAGAAGACATCCATCCACAAACAAACTTTTACAAAAACTTAGCTGAAATTAAATTCATGCAGTTAGACTCAACGCATTCGCTATCTTTTGCGAAAAAAAAAAGTACAATTAAATAGAAAAAGAGATCGTCTTCTTACCTGCGGTTGATGTTTCCATTATCCCTAATTGTCAATTTGAATCACAAATTACCCCTAATTATCAGTTTGACCCAAAAAACACATCAAGCAATGCACAATGAACATCTTAAAGAAAAGGACATGAGTTCTAAATTCTTGTAGCAAGCAATAGGGTTGTGGGTCTCACTCGAGCTTCATTTGCACACAAAAAGTACCCAAACCCAAAAATCTTTATCTTCTTCACCGCCCAGTCAAATTGTTGCACGTGTTGGAGAGTCGCTTGTTGTGAGTCGTGAGCGCAGAGAGTCCTCAGTCAAACTAACACTTCGACACACACAAAAATGAAGTTTCCCTCATTTCTGGTGGTCGTGGATTGAACAGAATGAAACTCGTTTACTGGTTTTCACTTTTCACGAGCGAGTAATAAACACCCAAAATAATAAAATTGCAGGGAATATCACGCAATCCTAATGAGTTTTATTCATTTTTATTGTTATTTATTATTTATTTTATTATTATTATTAACCCCTCACGGCCTTCGAGACTCCACGAGCTTCCCCTTCCCTCTGCCGTCATCTTCATCAACATTTTCTCTCTCTTTTTTCTTTAATGATTTTAATTTTTTTCGAAAAAAGTAAAAATGCCCTAAAAAGATGAGAAAATTGAGAAAAGAGTCTCGTATCCCACTTTGTTCCCCTTTCAAGAAACCGCCACTGCAGAGAGCTCATTGCCTCAAAATACCCACCAACAAACATATTAGTAATTATTAATAATAAATTAGATGCATAAATAAATAAATTACTAATTTAAATACTGAATTAGGTGCTAAATATTATCTGTTTTTATTACATAAAGATAGATCATCGTGCATAGATTTACTTGTTTCTCTTACATTGGGGTGCCCTTGCTAACAAAAAGGGAAGGGGAAACTGGGAAAAAGGGCAAAAGACACAAGTTCAAAAAGCCTGTACCAGTACACTCTTACTATTCCAACTGCCATTTATATATTTTTACTTATATTTTTATATTTTATATCCTTCTTTTTCTGTCCGTGGATTTTCAAAATTAAGAAAAAGGAAAAAAAAAATTAAAAAACCAAAATTTGCCTCAAGGTTTCTCCTTAAGCAGCGAGGCCAATCCGGTCACCATCCGCGCCCCTCTCTCGACGCT